TAGCTTTTCTTCTCAATTAATGTGGTCGTGACTTGAAAATGTTTGAGAACCTGTTTACTAGAGCTATTGGGCTGTTTCCCTAAAACGTTTGTGCTGTTTACTAGAGCTATTGTGCTGTTTACTAGAGCTATTGCGCTGTTTACTAGAGCTATTGTGCTGTTTACTAGAGCTATTGTGCTGTTTACTAGAGCTATTGCGCTGTTTACTAGAGCTATTGTGCTGTTTACTAGAGCTATTGTGCTGTTTACTAGAGCTATTGTGCTGACTACTAGAGATAGTGTGCTGTTTACTAGAGCTATTGCGCTGTTTACTAGAGCTATTGTGCTGACTACTAGAGCTATTGCGCTGTTTACTAGAGCTATTGTGCTGTTTACTAGAGCTATTGTGCTGACTACTAGAGCTATTGTTCTGTTTACTAGAGCTATTGTGCTGACTACTAGAGCTATTGCGCTGTTTACTAGAGCTATTGTGCTGACTACTAGAGCTATTGCGCTGTTTACTAGAGCTATTGTGCTGACTACTAGAGCTATTGCGCTGTTTACTAGAGCTATTGTGCTGTTTACTAGAGCTATTGTGCTGTTTACTAGAGCTATTGTTCTGTTTACTAGAGCTATTGTGCTGACTACTAGAGCTATTGGGCTGTTTACTAGAGCTATTGTGCTGACTACTAGAGCTATTGTGCTGTTTACTAGAGCTATTGTGCTGACTACTAGAGCTATTGTGCTGTTTACTAGAGCTATTGTGCTGTTTACTAGAGCTTTTGTGGTGTTTACTAGAGCTATTGTGCTGACTACTAGAGCTATTGCGCTGTTTACTAGAGCTTTTGCGCTGTTTACTAGAGCTTTTGTGCTGTTTACTAGAGCTATTGTGCTGTTTACTAGAGCTTTTGCGCTGTTTACTAGAGCTTTTGCGCTGTTTACTAGAGCTTTTCCGCTGTTTACTAGAGCTTTTGTGCTGTTTACTAGAGCTATTGCGCTGACTACTAGAGCTATTGCGCTGTTTACTAGAGCTTTTGTGCTGACTACTAGAGCTATTGCGCTGTTTACTAGAGCTTTTGCGCTGTTTACTAGAGCTTTTGCGCTGTTTACTAGAGCTTTTGTGCTGTTTACTAGAGCTATTGCGCTGACTACTAGCGCTATTGCGCTGTTTACTAGACCTATTGTGCTGTTTACTAGAGCTATTGCGCTGTTTACTAGAGCTATTGTGCTGACTACTAGAGCTATTGTGCTGTTTACTAGAGCTATTGTTCTGTTTACTAGAGCTTTTGTGCTGACTACTAGAGCTATTGCGCTCTTTACTAGAGCTATTGTGCTGACTACTAGAGCTATTGCGCTGTTTACTAGAGCTATTGTGCTGTTTACTAGAGCTTTTGTGCTGACTACTAGAGCTATTGCGCTCTTTACTAGAGCTTTTGTGCTGACTACTAGAGCTATTGTGCTGACTACTAGAGCTATTGCGCTGTTTACTAGAGCTATTGTGCTGACTACTAGAGCTATTGTGCTGACTACTAGAGCTATTGTGCTGACTACTAGAGCTATTGTGCTGTTTATTAGAGCTATTGCGCTGTTTACTAGAGCTATTGTGCTGACTACTAGAGCTATTGTGCTGTTTATTAGACCTATTGTGCTGTTTACTAGAGCTATTGCGCTGTTTACTAGAGCTATTGTGCTGACTACTAGAGCTATTGTGCTGACTACTAGAGCTATTGTTCTGTTTACTAGAGCTTTTGTGCTGACTACTAGAGCTATTGCGCTCTTTACTAGAGCTATTGTGCTTACTACTAGAGCTATTGCGCTGTTTACTAGAGCTTTTGTGCTGTTTACTAGAGCTATTGTGCTGACTACTAGAGATATTGTGCTGTTTACTAGAGCTATTGCGCTGTTTACTAGAGCTTTTGAGCTGTTTACTAGAGCTTTTGTGCTGTTTACTAGAGACATTGTTCTGTTTACTATATTTTACAGGTCCTGGTTTAAAGCTATAATTTTTTACTTTTTTAAAAATGTGAAAAAAAGAGAAAAATGTTGAAGTTTCTTCACGGGATGCGAGTATTTAGTTTACTAAAAAAATTCTCCAAGATCCCATGATAACAAGACATTGCTTGAGAAACCCTTATAACCGATCCAGGGTCATCTGTTTACCACTAGTTGTGCTATTGGATGGACCTACCCCCCACCCAGGATGTGGGGTCACATCTGGCTTATATAACGCCCTATTTCCAACCGCTCTTCCAAACCTTCAGCCCTGTCTATTGGAGTTCCTCAAGGATCGGTCCTTGGGCCGGTCCTTTTCATCCTCTACACTAAACCTCTATCATCTCTCATTAGCCACCACTCAGTTTCCAGTCAATCCTTTGCTGATGACACTCAAATCAGTGACTCTTGCTTTCCTGATCAACTTGATGCCACAATCCTTCGCATACAGGAGTGCGTGGACGATGTAAAGCGTTGGATGACTTGCAACAAACTGAAGCTAAATGATGATAAAACGGAAATCCTTCTCATCCACTCTCAAAACAAACCTCTCCCTCCATTCGCTCCTTCTTCTATATCTATTGGCAACTCTGACATCACACTCTCTCCCTCTGCCAGAAACCTTGGAGTCACGCTTACGGACACCCTCTCCATGGACAAACATGTCACGAATATATGCAGATCAGCATATAACGAAATTAGAAAAATCAGCACCATTAGACACCTCCTCTCCTTTGATGCCACAAAAACTCTCGTCTCTTCACTCATTCTTTCAAAATTTGACTACTGTAACATTCTTCTCTCAGGCATTCCTCAACACCACATAGAAAAACTTCAGAAGGCACAGAACTCAGCATGCAGACTCATTTTTAAATTAAAGAAACATGACCACATTCAACCACACATGCGGCAACTCCACTGGCTTCCAATATCCTCTCGCATCAAATACAAGTCTTCCAATCTTTGCTTCAACTCGTTCACTGACCCTCACTTTCCTGTCTATCTCTCTGAACTGTTGCTTCCTTACATCCCCACAAGACAACTACGTTCTTCCATTGACAGTAGAACCCTCTCAATCCCAAGAACTAAAACTAAGACCATCGGTGAACGCTCCTTCTGCTTCCATGGGCCCACGTTCTGGAACCAGCTCCCCTTCCATATACGTCATAGTGAAACCTCGTCCATTTTCAAAAAGTCCCTTAAAACTCATCTGTTTAGGTCCGCCTATGACCTGTGATGCACCCTCCTTGCCCTACCTAATTTTCTGTTTCGGTTTAATCCTGAAGTGTCAAAGTGTCCTCTTTTTATAGCCATTTTCATTGTTTCTATAGAATAGTAGTTACTATCCTAGTGTCTCATTTGTATTTACTTAGTTTACATGTTTTAATAATTGTAAAGCGCTTAGAGCTTTATGATAAGCGCTATATAAAAATGCCTAAATAAATAAATAAATAAATAAATAATACCTCGACTGGGCGATCAACAAAGATTCCGGTTACTGTCCGTGTTTTAAAGGGAAATCCCGCCATAATTCCCACCAAAATTCGCCCGCATTATTTAATCGCTTGATACTGCCCCATCATTCGTTATTTTAAAATACCTTCAAAAATTCACAGCAACGGGGGCCTAATCACAGATAACTGAAACTTAATATTGAAAAGAACTGCACTAAAACAACATGGCCTACTTACATTGGTCGTTCACGGCTTCCTTTGAATTCAGTTTCTCAACCTTTACATTCCAGATCGATTCACATCTTTTTATGATATCCTCAACTGCTTTACCTTTCACGTCGCATAAAATCAATTTGTTCAATACCAAATAGTCTTCGTCTAAAAACTCCATAATCACGTGTAGTAGAGCTTCTTGAAGACTTTTGCTGCCAATGTCAAGCATTCCTAATTAATATAAAAGGAACTGATAAATTCTGATCGCTGCCTCAAATATTTCTAATATATTCTGATATTATATATTGAGAATGTAAATCAGGTGCCCTTTTTATTAGTTAATGAATAAAATAACGTAAGAAAATTTGGATCTATAATTGAAATATTTATGCTTTTAGATACACCCTACATAATTTACATTGTATATAGAGATATTCTCTGGGTAGCATATTTTATTTGAAAAAAATTCAGATTACTTGATATGTATTTAAAAGGTATGGCTAGAGTTTTGAGATGGCATTTTTCAGCCTCATCCAAACAAGAGTGCAGTTTTTCTTTGATTCCGTCTATACTTTCAGGTGAATTCGAGGTGACAAGATGAATAATTTTCTTGATATTTATCAGTTCTCCGGCTGAAGTAATTTTAACACCTGATGAAAGGGGCCATTTTTTCAACTCTTCTTCAATTTTAGCGCCACCTTTAAAAAAAAAATGTTTTTAATATTTAAATGAGCTATTTCGTATTTTGAAGGAAAAACAATCATTTTTTCAATAATAATAATGTAATATAATTCTATTTGCAGTGGCTTTACAGATATATATTATATCAATATAATTATACGGCAATTATAAAGTATACGGTTTATTGTGCATTTTTTTGAAATTTTGAAAGATCTTATTGTATGATTTCTGATTCGATTACCAATTATTACCCTGATACAGCAACGAGATTATCAGCTAAAATTTCATTTGATTATACATAAACAATAGGTGTAAATAAAACAATTTATGTTCAGCTTTAATGATGACTTAACAAATTTTATAGATACATGTATATATATATATATATATATATATATATATATATATATTTATTTATTTATACTTATTTCAATGTTGTTGTTTTTATAATGATGAATTCATTTGCCAAAACGTCTACTTTCGTGTTTTTTAATCATCATTCAAGCTGGACTTATATTGTTTTATGTACACAAATTGTTTGTGTCCAATTAATCTACTTTCAAGCTTGATGGTAGTCCAACACTCTTATCTTTATTTAAGTAAAAGATCAAATTTACCTCTTGCTATGATCGCCTTTCCCAAGCTGTCATCGAATTTTAGTGATACGTCTAGGGTATTGATTATCGCATCTGTGATCATATCTAAAATGTCCCCTTGAGTGAACCATATCTCACAGTTCTTCAGTATACAGTAGGCAACATCCTTTGCAGCACTGGAGATTGGGATGTGTCCTGTTGATTTACCAAGTGAGCGTGGTGTCGCCGAGGTACTCATTTTTATCACGCACTCATTCAATTTTTCAAAATCCTCTATAAATATTCTCCCCGCTTTTTCTGAAAGAAATTCTTTGATGCCGAATTTGATGACTTTGAACTGGTGAGATTTGATCTCATCCCTGCGGAAAGTATAAATAGAAACTAGGTCATAACAATTATAAACTGTCAAAATAAGGACATTTTATAATGTATATCATTTCACAAAATATCAATCAACTTAATGTATGAAATATGAAGACAAATCCATGCATTTAAACAATGGTATTGTTTGCTGCAGGTATGCTTGAGATTTGGAAAAAAATAAACATATTTTAAAATACTCTAGTAACATATTTATAAATTTGGCATCCTTGAATATTTTGACAATATACAATGACAAGGTATGGTAAAAATAGTTTATGTTTCTTCCTTACATGTTAATAGTCTATTTACAAAGCAATTATATTATTATAATAGATGGACTCGTCAGTGGTTCAGTGATGTGATTAACATAGATAGACAAGTCAGTGGTTTAGTGACATGAAATAATAGATAGACATGCCAGTCGTTAAGTGAAATGAAAAAAATAGACATGTCAATGGTTTAGCGATATGAGATGATAGATAGACAGGAAACTTTAAAATAAAGTTAATCAGAGAAAATAATAGAGCTGCTTACTTCAAACTAAAAAGGGCCATTTTCCCTTCATGTATACCATCCTGCTGCCCTTCCAAAACAACTTTGTCAGCACTGTAGTTTACAGATATTCCTTGTCTTTTCATGTTATCTAAAAACCGTTCATATTCCCGAGAGTAAAACGTTTCAATATATTCCAGCTCTGCTCTTGAGAATGGAAATTCCTCCTTAACGATGTGATTTTCTGCCATAAATTGTTCGATACTCTCCAAGAGATTGTCAAAATGTTTCTTTAGTGCAACGATGTGAATACTCTTTGTTACAGGTTCGAGCTTCACAGCGGCTACTTTCTCTTCTCCAATTCCACACAAATGTTCGATTAACTGCATGCCTTTAGGAGACTGAATTAAAGCGAACTTTTGGTCGTAAGATAATGTTTTGCACTTTATTTGCTTCATCAAGATTTCAATCATTATTTCTGTTTTAGCTTGATCGAAATTGTGCAATATTATATAATCATCCTTACTTTTTATGAAAGCGGGTAGATTTTCTTTCTCATACTTCTTGTTCATAAAGGTTTGAACTTTTTGATTTTTTAGGAAGTCTAATTTTGTGGGGTCCACGATCTTATCAGTAAGCACAGTCTTCTGAATATGAATCAAGCCTTCGGTTAATATCTTAGATACCGCATCATTGATATTTTCTCTAGTGCCTATAAGAATTGCATGTTCATTGTCAAATTCAGTCTTAACATTGAGCCCTTTAAAGAAATCGAGTCTCTGTAACATCTCTTTTTCGTGTTCTTTCAATGGCAGAGGCTTTTTAATAATTTCTTTGCTTTTCTTTTGTGCGTTTGCGTCTCTGTGATATTTATCCCGTTTACTCAACGCTTTCATTGCTACGGGTAATAGACTTTCTTCATCCCGACAAACTTTGTTTTTCCACATAACTTGTTGCATCTGATGTTCTCCACGTGGGCAGGACTTTCTCATTTTAGCAATATTTTGTCTTTTATTTTGAGTTGAACTTTCTGCACCGAGCTCATCGTCAACCGCCCGCGGGGCGTGCTCGGGTTTATTTTTGGATTTAGCCTTCTTTGACACTTTCGTGATGGCGTCGCGATAACAGTTAAACCGTTTCTCAAAGAATTCTTTTGTGAGACAGTGGTGGAAATAATCAATCTTCAGATTTTCCCCTTCAAGTTTATGGTCACGTCTGGCTAAAATCCGTTCTATTGCTGTATAAGGAGGAAATTATATTATTTTAAACGAAGTACTCAGAAATTTCTCTCTCAATGTTAATTTTTTTTTTTAATAAAAAAAAAATCTGACTAGTCTCAATTGTAGTAATATGATAAACAGAAATACAATGAAAAAAAACAAACTATATTTTCATATTAATTCGTAAAAATTGTTCTGACATTTTATATCTTATATCATTACTAATGTGTAATGGGCAGCTCCTTAATTTTGTTTAATTTAGAGGTCATGCTTAAAAATTTTAGACTATGTATACTTCTTATGCAGTGCATTACAGCTTTTCCTTTTTTATTTTTTGATATGATCAATTTCCGGTTAACAACCTAGATGTAAGTGCTGATTTTTTTCAAAATTTGTTTTCATGTGTAAAGTTGCAGATAAGGCGTCCATTTTGTTGTATGGTTTTGTTTTCAAAACACCAACAATAACATATCTATAACATACCTTGTTCTTTTTTTGTTTTTCAAGCGTCAACTATAACATAGCTCGATCTTGTTTCGGTTTTTAAACAATAACTATAACCAATGTTCCCTCTAAGGTTTGTTGGCTCGTGCGCAAACTCACACAGTTGTGTGCAAAGTTTTACAGCATCAATTTTTTGTGTGCAAAATTGTATAGCCCACAAACACATACTTACATGGAAATTTGCTGTGTGGTATTCAAAACTGTTGCGCGGCGTCTGTGAGATAGATGCGCGTCTGTGAGATAGCTGCGCGTCTGTGAGATAGATGCGCGTCTGTGAGATAGCTGCGCGTCTGTGAGATAGGTGCGCGTCGTCTGTGAGATAGATGCGCGTCTGTGAGATAGATGCGCGTCTGTGAGATAGATGCGCGTCTGTGAGATAGCTGCGCGTCTGTGAGATAGATGCGCGTCTGTGAGATAGATGCGCGTCTGTGAGATAGCTGCGCGGCCGCTCACACGCGCAGCTTAAAGGAAACATTGACTATAACATTACTGTAACATATGTTCTAAACAAATTTTTTTTAAATACTTTAAGTTCCAATTCGACTGTCGTACGGTTAAAGTTATTGAAAAGACTTTCTTACCTTCCTCGCTCTTGAAAGTTGCTACAACTTGTTGAGCACTGATCCGTTCAATAGGTAAAATCAACTGTCCAGGCATTCCCCCGTGTCTCTTGTTGGACAAGTAGCGCTCAACTGTTTCATCGTCAGTGCTGCTAGAGAGACCAGATATCAAAAGTTGATTGTTCTTCTCTACTGGAGCTGTGAGGAGTTGAACTCCTAAGAATTGAAAAGCGCATTTCCAAACCATATCCACAAGTTTGGCTGTAATAACAAAAGATTTTAAAAAGAGATTTATAAAATTTGTAAATTACATCAATGAGGCCTACACTAAAATGAAATCGATAGGACTCTAAACTTACTAATCACCAATATTCTTTAGTCTACACCTTTGATTGTAGTTATTACATACAAAAAAATAAACGAAAGAATTATTGTTACACAAGAGTCGCTGGAAGCGAAGAAAAAAAATGGAAAAGTAAAAAAACCAATTCTTGTTTTTCCTAGTTCATTAAAAATAAAAATGCCCAGACAACATTTTCTAGACTGAATTAATGTTTATGAAAAGATGAGTGATTAAACGTGAATTTGCACATCTTCACTTAGCTTATACTAAAGGCTGCGACTATTCGCACCCGGGTACCAGATGTGAGAGGTTGGGATTAAAAAACTATTTAGAATATTATTGTTGGGTTTGTAAGACAAAATGAGGTATCAAATTAAAGATAATTAAATGGACTATATATTTGTAGACTTACTTCTTCAGTTTAACTAAAATAAACTACCACAAATGGCATCCGCATAGCACTTAGTCTAAATGGACCCGGGTACGCATAGCCGCCATTCAGACCCAGTTCCTTTTAGACCGGGAACTCCGGCTTCGCTACGCTTAGAGCAGCTCCGAAGATCGGAACAGGGACACGCTTCTAATATAAGCTATATACATATCAATAGGGTTAGACAACACCATAGGTTCTATGTGATTAGTTGGATCCAGGCCTAGCTTTGTAGCAATACCCTTCTAAGTCCGTTTTAAAATATATTTTGATTTAAGATTCAATCCATTCAAGGCCGATCTAGAATTTTCTAGAAACTGCGATAGTATAAAAAAGTCATGTCTATGGCATTTATAATCCACTTTTAATAGGACAAGTTTTAAATGTATAATTTATGTCAATGATTTTTATAGCACCCCCCCCCCCCCCCCCCCCCCCCCCCCCCCCTCNGATAGCGCATGGGATCCACTGAGATCAGTATCTTACTGGGATCGAGACACCGACGGGATAGGGATCCCAACGGGATCTGGACTCCCCCTGGATTCAGAGCCACAAAGAAATAAGATTCCACCGGGAACGGGATAAAACCGGGAAAATGGATTGCGTCGGGATCTGGTTCAGAATGGATTAGGGACTCATTAGAATTGGGGTCTTACTAGGATCGGGGTCCCAAGGACAGACCCTACAAAAAGTTGGCATTGATTTGAGACAGGTTTGATTTTCGCAAGGGAATGTATTCTATAGTCTCCGGAATATGCCACTACTTGATAATTTCGTACCTGTTTTTTCCTTTAAAAAGGCTCTCTGGTGCGAAGCGCGGGTATTTTGCTAGTAATTCATAAGTCAGATCACCACAGTCGGCAATATTTGGCCAATGGAGGGGCCATATTTGGCCAATGGAGGTGCCATATTTGGCCAATGGAGGGGCCATATTTGGCCAAGTGAGAAGTAATAGCTAGGGAAACGTTTTTGGAGTTTAAATACAGTTTTAATTATTTTGCACATAGAAATTGCAGAAAGATGAATTTACGGAGGGCAACTAAAAATTTGAGATATTAATTTTCTTGTCCTTAAATTACGTAAGAAATTTGTGATGCAATTTTTTTTTTAAAAAAAAAAGAGAAATTTACGGGTGATTCATGAAACTAACGAAAACTTGAATTTTTAACGTTTATTTTTTTTAATTTTTTTTTTTTTGTGTGTTTGCCTGTTTGTTAAATGGTGCATGGTCATAATCAGGAGAAACTTAAAACTCATTAGAATTTCCCACAACAAATTAACGCTAAAAATAGAGGGACGATACTTGAGAGATATAGAAAGAAATGGAAAATGAAAGAGTTAATTAGGAAAAGTTTCATCCAAAAAAAGACAAAAAACATCTTAGTGCCATTTAAAATAGCTTCCTAATTTTTTATTCTGTTGGCGTAACTCCAAGAGAAAGTGCAACATTACTTCCTAAATGCTAAATTCAAAGACTATGATTGGATGAAGATTTCAACTGTGATGTAGGGGCCCTAAATATTGCAGAATTTATGCCAAAATGTCCTACGTATGCACATATCACCCCTCCTACCTCGACTATTCACTATGGTACGCAAAATCTACAAAAAACTACTTAACTCCGCACCCCCCACCCCCCACCCCACAATCAGTGCGTACGTAATACATGGATTGTCCCTTATGATTAGCTATTTGAAGAAGTCAGTGTAAACATGTATCGTTTCATGCAGGCCAGATTGTTCGATGTGAAGATAAAACTTTGCGCAAACTGTTCACCGTGTTTTTTTAATACCAGAATATCCAGCTATTAGCCTCTCTTTTGACCATCATCGTCATCAAATCCCTTAGTCCTTGGACCGTTGGGGCGCCACAGATGACATGTGAACTATCCTCCTCCATTCGTCTCTGTCTTCTGCACTACGCACAGCATCACCAAGTGTTAGTCCTGTCCACTCTTTGATGTTATCCTCCCATATTTTTCTTTGTCTTCCTCTTCTTCTCCCTCCTCTTGTCGTGCCCTGCAATATGTCTTTGGCAAGCCCTTGTTTCCTTGTTACGTGGCCGTACCATTGTAGTTTGCGTTTTTTCACAGTCAGCAGTAGGGCATCGTACTCCCAAATTGCCTGCCGAACCCTTTCTTTCAGTGTATCATTGGAGATATGGTCCCAGATGTCAAAAATGCTTCTGAAGCATCTCATCTCCATCGCCTTTATTTTACTTTCAGGATCGGCTGTTAATGTCCAAGATTCGCAGGTATTCAGGAAAATGGATAGGACTAATGAGCGCATCAGCCTGATTTTGGTGCTGGTGGCTACATTTTTGTCATTCCATATTTTCTTGAGCCTCTTTAGTGCTTTTGTAGTCTGCACAATCTTGGACATCAGTTCGGGCTTGGAGCCTTCTTCTGACACTATTGCTCCTAGGTATTTGAAGCGGCCTACAGTCTCTAGTCTTTCCTCCCCGACCTTAATTTTGATGAAATGCTTAAAATAAAAGACCTACCTTGCTGACAATGTCTGGGATCGAATTTAATAATAAAAGTTCTCGCATCATTATACTGTAGAATCTCCAGAACATCAGTCTCAAGAATCTTTGATACGTGTTGCTTCAGTTTATCTTTTTCTTTTGAGGACTGAAAGCAATAACCAAATGCTGCAACAAGATTACTATGCCAGTTTAATTCCTCCACACTTGCATTAGTGGCCTCAGAAATATTGCTATTCGCTCCAAAATTTATGCGGCGAAAAGCTCTTGCATCTAAAATTGAAAAGAATAAAGTTCTTTAGCTTGTGCATTATAATTACAATAAAATAGTATACTCTTCCTGTTGTTTTTCGGGGAATTTTTTTAATACATATTATTTCTTTTATAAAAAAAAATGTTTCATTAGACATTTTAATCTGTTTTAACGCACTTTTCAGAGAAATTATTTCTTCTTACCCTTTGGTTCTTTAAATGTAACAAATAATTGTTTTCTCAGGGCATCTTGCATGATGCTGCATTCAAAAAAGGGTCCTTCATTTACCGAATCGTCCTCCAAATAAAGGATGTAAAAATCTCTTGATTTCTTCACATCTATTATCTTTATCTTCACAGTTCTTTCAGCCCTTTCTAATGGAGTGAGACCCTCTAAAAGTGTATATTCTTCAGCGCAACTGTTTTGAAATTTGCATTCTTCATTCTCCGAACATTCAGAAGATGATGCTGATTCTGGCTGTCCTGAACTTTGATATTTTGTCTTCTTATCAGCATAATGTTTTACCGAAGACGAAGAAGCGTTTCTATTGGATGTGGCACCTTTAGTTTCAAAAAAGGATTCTTCAGGCGAAGCTTCATCATCGTCTGCTATGGTGCTTGACATCAGACACGATCTGTGGCCTGCTTGGCGAGACTCTGACGATCTCTGCCTTATGGATTGCGAGACAGGGGTCAATTCACTGCTGTCATCTGATTCATCTGCAACCTCAAAATCGTTTGAACTCATTTGATTTCTCCTTGTTGGATTTGAAAATCTATCATCAGACTGGCTAATGTGTACTTCATATCCATCGATGTCAATCACGTTGCCTCTGCCTAGAATAATCTCAACAGCTGTGCAGGTAGAAAGTTAATTTCATTACATAGTTAATCCAAAACATTCATTTCTAGCACAATAGGTGAATGGTTTTCTTTTAAAAAAATGTAATTGAAATACATGATTTTTTTACATTAACAAAATTGTATATATATATAAATAAATATAAATATACACTTAAATATCTATAATATTCATATATCTCTATACATATATTTCTATACATTTAGATTTATATAGACATGGATAAGAAGGGGATATGATGTTAAAAACAATGATAAAGAGTTTCTATATTTATGGAAATTAATTAAATTTAAATATGATAAAATATATCTGCTTCAATTTAGTATATGTAACTTTGTATGTGTAATTATTATTATTATAAAATAGAAATGTTTTTAATATAACAGCTTAATAATTATTTTGAGTATTTTATCTTAATGGGAGAGTTAAAATATCTATTTTTTATTAGTCAATGATCATCTATGATCAAATAACAACAAACCATATGAAGTTGCCATTGGTTCCATTTGATATCAATATCCCAAAACTCAAATATTACAGTTTTGAACTTTGGTATAGACAGATTTAAATGTTAAAATAAATAACTGTAATCTTTATCATAAGGAATTTTGCGCAGAACATTTTGTTTTATAAAATGCAAAACAATGCATGGTAAATGGAGGGTGGGACATTATAACATTAATCTACTTCAGAACCGTGCCAAAGAAATGTAACGTTGTGCACGTAGGTGGTTATCATCCTAAGGGTGATCTTTTTATTAATGTTTCTAAAGATCTTCTTTGTGGGGGGAGAGGGGTGCGATTCTTTTATTTTTCGTCCCAGGTGGCAAACGATACGCCGCATAATGGATGAGTGCATTTGATCTGATCATAACTAAACCTTTTCTATAAACACATATGAGGGGTATAAGGGAATAGGGTGTGTACATTTTTATATGGCTGACAATATCTTTAAATCCAATGATGCTACTTTCGTGAAAAATAGGTTTTAGATTTACTTTAAAAATAAAAAAAA